TATTATTCTCATGAAGTAATATTTTATAACTATTTTCAGCATTTGGGAGAATTGCAAAAAAGATTAGAAAAAAATGAAACATTACTATTTCAAGTAGAATAACTAAAAATTAAAATTAGGAATAATTCTGCTAAAAAGATCTCAGCTTTTTTCAGCGTTTTAATTCTAAGCTACTTTTTTTAAATTTGCATTTATGGAAATGTTCTCTACATTTTTTAAGGAACTGTGTGCTAAAAATGGTATTCCAAATTAAGGATTTTTAAATTGATATCTAATTTTTTCATTAAATATATAAAAATTTTAAATGCAAGCAAAATAAATTTGTACTTTAAAAAATATGTAGCATTTTGGTAGTGCTTAGTGGAAAGGAATGCCTTTGTGAGCTCCTTTATGTTTCAATTGATACACTGTCTTTTACACAAGTGAAGCATGAGCCAAACCACACTTGATTTAATTGATTTTATTATTATTAGGCCTGTTAATGTTTTAGAATTGATTATGCCAGAGCGAGGGAGTGTTTGATCTGAATGAGATTCATTTTATAAAACACAAGTTCAACGCATCAAAATCTCTATTTTTTAGAAAGAAATTAATTTGTTGTTCTTGCACGTTTAATTAAACCACATTAAGAAAAAAAAAAAAAAGGCCTTAGAGTTGAGAACTTTCCAAACCATTTATTTTAGCTACAGAATTAGCAAAAACATACAAGATGATGTGCAATTTCCTTATTTTGGAGCATTAGTTGTTTGGAGTGTGGTTATGGAGTTTCTCAACCCACACTTTTCCAACATTGATAACCATTAAGAAAAGACATAGAATACTCAATTCTGTTCACTCAAATTTGGTAGATTCCAGGAGTGAGTTTCTTACCCCAACATTAGCGTTACAATGCACACAAGTTTAACTGTAGTTAGCTACTTTCATTCAGGGCTCTTGTTAGCATCTTATAGTAAAGGCGTGGATGAGGAGGGGGAAAAATAAAGCTTTGACAGATGGTACTCAGCGTTTGACTCCTGCTGAGCTCAGCAGGACCTGTGGTTTCCAAGGTTAGAGCTGTCAAAATGGCTCTGTCTATCAAGTGAATAACAAAGTGTAGACTGCCTGCCTGTTTCCTATACAAAACTTAGATTTCATTTGCCATTATTGTCGGTCTTTCTGCTGATTTAATAACTTCTAAGGAGAAGAACTGGGGGTTCTGATGCAGCCTCACTATTTAAGAAACTACTTGGAAAGGGAATTCTCAAGGGCTGAAAGAGGTAGGCCGCGATCTGATCTCTTTCTCTTTGGTTTCTAAGGTTTCAAGACTTAAAAAGGATTCAAAAGACACCAAAGGTTCACTTTGGGCTGAAAGCTAAATGTGAACCTTTCAAAATGAACTCATTGCTGCCTTCCTCTCAAAAGGGTAAAATGTTTTTTATTAAGAATCCTTGGGGTAGTGGATAATTATTCAACTAGAAATATTGAGAATGATAAGAGAACTGTTCCTATTATGAAATACATGGATCTGTTTAGATGTGTTTGTCAAGGCCTGTTTTTCACCTTTCATAGCTCTTAATATTAAAAACTCACCCCTTTTTTTCACCTATTTCTAAAGGCTTCAGATGGTCAGATAAAGTACCTGATGCTGAAAAACAGGAAATTGAATCATGTCTCCAAAATGTGCCTTTTGTCATGCACTGTTACAGCTATATTTCTTGGTAAGTCTGATGTTCTCCTTTATGCATATTTTGTGATTACAAGATTGTTATTGACCTCTTGGGATTTTAATCAAAAGCCTGTGGATTCATAAACCCAGGCTTTCTATTAAGATGATGCTGAAATTAGGATTGGGGTTTTGCTTCTGAATAAACTAATAATTATATTTCAATATTTATATTAAATATTAATATACTTAAATTTAATACACTTAAAGTGAAACACCTGATTGTTATTTCAAAAATGTAGCATTTAAAAAATGACAGACTTAAACTTGTGTCCTGTCTCAATACTAAGAATTTTAGTTGTCATTTTTGAGAAGCTGATAAAGGGAAATCTCTTGTCTCTTTTCGATGCTGGCTTGAGCAAACATTTCCACTACTGTAGTGATTATTCCCAACCAGCATATCTGAAAAGATGACATTCTATCTACAATATAGTTGAAGAAATTTCTTCTGCAAATATTTATTTATAGAAATCCCACAATCATAAAGGGAAGAATGATTTATTTGGAAGAATGACCATTTATTATGATTTTCAGTATAGTTCAGTATTTTGAACATTAAACTTAAAAAAAAATTTAAGCTTTAAAATATTTACCTTCTTTTAAAACTTATTTTAAAAACCCTACCGCAGTGTTTTTTTCTGAGACACAGGGCCTGTACTACATATTAGATATTCAGTAAATGTTATTGAATTGAAATAAAAAGGATATTGACTATTGAGTAAAAGATGAAAGGAATTCTTGAGTTGAAATAAAAGGAAGACACCTCTTACATCAGATTATTGTAAGAAATTATCAAATGCCAATTTAGCATAAATCCTTTTCCATTTGTGCTTGGGTTTTATCCTGGAAATGTTTGATGCTTTTAATCATCTCTGTAGATAATAATGATAATTAAACAGAAATTTCAAAAAAATTCTAAACTAAAATGCAGTTTTCTTCTCTCGTTTTCTCTGTCTGCCTTTAGCTTGCTTTGTTCAATAGGGCAGTTTCTAAGCTACTTTCTAACAGCCTATACCATCACTATACCACCCCTGTCCCCAAAGGAGGTTTTGTTAATGGTAAACTTGCTGAATCAAATTTGCTTTTTATGTGTTTGCATTTTTTGAAGAGTCTCTGAGGGGTTTCTCCATGTGTCTATGGGGAAAGTGTGCTTCTGTATTTTCATCCACGTTCATAAACTATAAGGCTCTGGAAATTAAGTCCATCTCTGGCAGGAAATCAGCAATCTTAGAGGAAGGAAATAGAACTAAAACAGATACAATGTTTGAGTACTATGACCACATACCATACTTAGTCTCCAACCAAATCCTTTCTGGTTCTAACCTACAGCACTGGCCCAGAGCTCTGGGACCAAGAAGTCAAAATATCCAGGACTAACTAATGTAACCAGTATGTTCTAAGTGCACTAAGCCTTTCAGTCATTTTGTTGTTGTTGTTTTTAACTGTAGTAAAATACACATAACATAAAATTTATCATCTTAGTAATTTTTAAAAGTACAGTTCAGTAGTGTTAAGTACATTCACATTATTGTGCAGCTAATCTCCAGAACTGTTTTGATCTTACAAAACAAAAACTCTATACTCATAAATAACACCTCCCCCATTCCCGTCTCTTCCAGGCCCATGGCAAACACCATTCTACTTTCTGTCTTTATGAATTTGAGTAGTCTAGGTACCTTACATATAAATGGAATCATTATAGTATCTGTCTTTTTGTGCGGCTTATTTCATTTAGCATAATGTTTTCAAAGTTCATCAATGTTGTAGCATTGTCAGAATTTCCTTCCTTTTTAAGGCTGAGTAATATTCCATTTTATGTATATGCACCACATTCTGCTTATCCATTCATCTGCCGTTTGACACTTGGCTTGCTTCTACCTTTTGGCTACTGTCAATAAGGCTGCTATGCACATGGGTGTACAACCTTCAGTCGTTTCAGAATGTGATTATTACATGCTGCAGAATAAATTAAGACGCACTGGAGAAAATACTTGAGAAAAATAGGCAGAAAATTACAATAATAAAAATAATAGATAACACTTAGTGAGAGCTTTCTATGTACCAGGCACTGTGCCACACACAACACTGATCTTAACTTTCTGAGAGATGCACTATTATTACCCTCATTTTGTAGAAGTGAAAACAAGCACAGAAAGGTTGCTTAACTAGTCCAAAGTCACTCACGAAGTAAGTCACTGGAATGCAAATCTGGGAAATGGGGCCAGAGTTTATTCATTTGGAGGAGGGAAGAAAGTACAGAATCCGTATTCATGGAGCCACAGCCAAGCACCCTTAGGGAAGAACTCCTTGACCACTGCACAGAGCATGGCCTGAGCAAAAGGGCACTTTTGAATAAGAGCCAGAGAAAACAGCTCTGTCACCTGCTAGCTGCAGGACCCTGAACAAGACAACTGCCCTTCTGGGCTTAATTTTTCATCTGTGAAAGGAGAGACTGAACTGAGGGTTCTACAGCCTATGATGTCCCGCATCCCTCATTCCACGTGAATTGTTATCTAATACTTTATGACTTGGTTATTTTACCTACTTGAAGATAAGAAAGTAATTTAAAATTTTCAAACATATGCTTAAGTCTACAAATTTTGATAATGACTAATTTTCTGATTCTCATTTCACTATATTCAAATTATTCCTTGATATAAAAAATATCATGTGTACTCCTCTAATGAATCTAAAAAGAACGAATACAATGACTTGGTACCAACAGGAGTGTGTGAGGTAAAATGTTTCTCCTTCAGAGGGCCCTGAGCTATGCCTACCTCAACAAAAGCAGAGAGTTGCAAACAGTGCTCATTTAATATATATTCAAATAATTAGCGTTCTGTGACACCGCCCCCTTTCACCCTGCCACTGAGAGAAACAAGAAGGGTGAGTCTGGATTAATGTTTTCCTCTTCACAGTAAAAATGCATCATGTCATTGTATCTCTAGAAACACAGACTGTATATAAGTATCCTTATTATCATAAATAATTTTACTAGCTCTTTTGGTTCTATGGTTATGAGCTTAGGTTATGATTTTATTGTGTTCACTTTCAGAGCATAACCCTAATTCTGGGTGTAGTGATTGAATTGGATCCAAGGAAACAAAGGAAAAACATTTTTTAAAGAAATGTTTTAAATTTTTTTAAATTCTGAGTTCCTGGAGGAGAGTATTTGAATGCCACTGATCTAATTTATAAGTAGGTGCATGTTTGCAATCCCATGAAGAACACTTACCAGAAACAACCTTGCAGATCAGGCTCAAGAGAAGACTTGAGTTGGACGTTTGTTGGAATGCTGTACAAATCAAGTGGCAAATGCTTATTTGACCAAAGTCCAAGTGTTTCAAGTAGAGTTCAGTCAAGTGATTGATCAGGTCTGCATTTTTTCAGGGATGTCTGCAGATAAAGTTCAATATTAACTTAAGGAAATGTTTTCATTTTCTTTTAGCCAGCATTTAAGGCAAGACAGACAATTTTATTTTAAACCAAATTATTACAAAGGAAGCACTTTCCATATTCCAATACATGAATTTGTTATTCTTCATATAGTAACTACATTCAGCCTGCAGCCAAGATAAAGAATTTTGTGATACACACTTCATCTTCCATCTCTGCTTTCAAAAGATGTGAATTCTACAAACCAGACAGAAGAGGGAGCTATCCATCTGGAAATTAACCAAGCCTTTCAAAAACGTCAAATAAATATAGAAGAAAATTCTAATATAATCAAGTCTTACTTAGTCTTGTATTTTATAAAAACACTATAATTTTTCTGGTGCATTAAAAATGACAAAGAAAACGACCAGTAAAGGCAAAAACATTGAATTAATTAATGAAGAGGCAAAATATACAAATGATTAAAAGGCCAATTAAAAATACACTCACATTTTATGGTTTGATCTCACATTTTATGGCAAAATGTAGAACCAGAACACACCTCCAAAAAGGGCAAAATAGTACTCTACTGATTACATATCACCTTCCTATAGATCCTGTTCTTAAAATGGAACGCTGACTTTAAAATTGATAACATCTGGAAATAATGGCAAAAAGGAAAAACCGTTGGGCTGCATCTGTCTTGAAAATGCTATGTACTAAGATTTACTTAATATATTTGAAAAAGGAAAAATGTTTTGTTCCCCAATTTGTTGCAACATCTGAAAGTTCATGAGGTTATGACCCCTCTTTAAGAAAGCATCTCCCACCACCTGCAAATACCCCAGGAAAAGCAGTTGGAAACAATAAAACACGTGCTAGTTAACTGTTACCAGGGAAACGGTTCTGGTTCACCAATCAGAGCGCCTGTGCTTCCCAGTGGCTTTGTCCGAGGGAGACATGCGCCAGCTGTTAGTGAATAACCATTGTTATAGATCATCAGGAAATCACAGTCAGCAGGCAACCCAGCCCCACTGGAAGTTTATTTCTCATATTTGTTCATCACCAGGGCAATTCTCCATCTTTAAAACATCCCCTTAGGCTGGGTTAACTAAATAACACCCTACACGGGTAAGGTCATTTTAAAAAGGCAAGTTGCAAAATGGTCTTTTTGCCAGCAAACAGATTTCTAACTTTGATTCCAACTGCATCACCCTTCTGCCCCCTTCACTTTCCAGTGGCAATTTTAAGACTGATATCTAAAGTCTGTACTCCTTTGAGTGCTGTTCCTCCTTCACTTGACTGGCACTCCAGGCACCAAGAGATTTCACACCATACCCTCCAAAACCTGTCAGAGATCATTTGGTAGTTCTCATGCTGGAAAGACCAGTGTGATTTGCAAACGGGGAGCTCTGAAGAGGCTGTTTGGGTTGTCATAAGGAAAGGGGCTGAGAGGACAAACCCTGGTTCCCTCCCTCAATAACACATACAATTCAACCAGAACAGCCCCCTTTTATCAATTTTATTACTTTTATAAATTTATAAATTCATAGTTTTTTTTAGATAAGATGGCATGACTTTTTAAAGTTTAAAAACCAACTCTCAATCTATCCAATCATCAGACTCATCTTAAAAAGTAAAGTCATCAAGAGTTTTAGTTTCAGGTCCAGCATGTTAGGCTCTTAAGAAGTCACCACTCTAACAACAAGTAAAAAGCCAAACAAACTGAAAAATCAACAACTCTTCTTAGATCTGTCAGAGAAGTGAGGTCACAGGACAAATCACTGTCCCCCAAATTGGAGAGACAGACAAATAGAGAGAATCACAACTTACTGGAGCAGAAGTCTATGAGCAGTCTCTTTCTCAGGAGCCAGTGCCAGAGTTAGAAAACCAGAACTGCAATTGCTAGAAGATCAGTGTGGGCAAGTTTGAGAATTAAAAACTTAGGAGGGCCCAGACGTAGTGGGTCCATCACACGTTACCTATAGAGAAGCAAAAATAAGAATTACACCTGACTGTTCCTCAGAACACGCAAGCAAGACGAGAGCGGTGTAAAATATTTAAACTATGGAGATAAAAACTACCAGCCTAGAACTCTTTACACTGTGAAATTATCCTTCAAAAGTAAAGAAGAAATAGACTTTCTCAGGCAAAAATTGAGAGTATTTGTTGGCAAGTAGTCCTGCCTTGCAAGAAATTCTTCAGAGAAGTTCTTCAGAACAAAAGAAAATTATATAGGTTAGAAACTCAGATCTACATAAAGAAAGGAGCAATGGAGAATGAATCAGTGAAAGTAAAATAACACTTTTATTTTTCTTATTCTTAATTGATTTAACACAAAACTGTTTAAAATAATAGCAATGATATATTCAATTATGTACACTTATATGTTTTATATATATGTGCACACACATAAACATACAGATATATGCTAATGTATGCTTATATGTAAGTGAATGAATGATGGCAATGATACAAAAGACAGAACAGAAGAGTTAGGAATATTTTGTTATTATAATGTACCTGCACTGCTCATAAAGCAGTACATTGTTAATTGGACTTGAATTCATTGTAAATGTCTATTGCAAACGTTGGGGAAAAACTACTGAATTTTTTTTTTAATGTGACATGTCCTAAGAAAGAAGAGAAAATGAAATAATATAAAATGCTCAATTAAAACTACAAAAGCAGAACAAGTGTAGAAGACAAAATAGGAATGAAGTGCAAGAAGAACAAATAGAATACAATAAAAAATATATTACATAATAATCCAACTATAATAATAATCACTTTAACCTTCAATGGTCTATATATGCCTATTAACAGACAGAGATTGTCAGAGTGGATTAAAAAACAAGACCCAACTACATGTTGTATACAAGAAGCCCACTTTAAATATAAAGACATATAAAGATTAAAAGTAAGCCAGGCGTGGTGGCTCACACCTGTAATCCCAGCACTTTGGGAGGCTGAGGTGGGTGGATCGCCTGAGGTCAGGAGTTTGAGACCAGCCTGGCCAACGTACTGAAACCCCATCTCTACTAAAAATACAAAAAATTAGCTGGGCGTGGTGGCGGGCACCTGTAATCCCAGCTACTCAGGAGGCTGAGGCAGGAGAATCGCTTGAAGGCGGGAGGTGGAGCTTGCAGTGAGCTGAGATCGTACCACTGCACTCCAGCCTGAGCAACAAGAGCAAAACTCTGCCTCAAAAAAAAAAAAGTTTAGAAGTAAGGGTATGAAGAAAAATATACCATGTAGTGTTCATCAAAAGAAAGCAGAAAATCTGCTTTTAAAAAAGGAAGAGTAGCTATATTAATTTCAGAGACAGCCAACTTCAGAACAAGAAAAGTTAGGAGGGATAAAGAGAGCTATTCCATAATGATGGAGCGGTCAATCCTCTAAAACGACATAACAATTATTAACATGTATGCACCCAACAGAGCACCAAAGTATGTGAAGCAAAAACTGATAGAAATGCAAGGAGAAACAGATATATCCACTATTATAATTGGAGACTTTACCACTGTCAGAAATGGACAGATCCAATAGGCAGAAAATCAGTAAAGACATAGTTGAACTCAACAACACCATCTATCAATGGGATATAATTGATTTCCATAGATTATTTCATCCAACAACATATTACACATCCATCTCAAGCTCACATGGAATAATTGCCAGGATAGAATACTCTCTGGGCCATAAAATACATCTTAAAATACGTAAAAGGATAGAAATCATACAAGGTATGCTGTTAGAACATAATGGAATTAAACTAAATATCAATAACAGAATGATAATTGGAAAAGCTCAAAAAACTTAGAGACTAACCAACTTTTAAATAACATATGGGTCAAAAAATAAATCTCAAGAGAAATTTAAAATATACAGTTCATCAAAATTTGTGGAATGCAGTGAAAGCACCGTTTAGAGGGAAGCTTATAGCATTGAATGCATATATTATGAAAGAAGAAAGATCTGAAATAAATAATCTAAGCTTCTACTTTAGGGAACTAGGAGAAAAAAAAACAAATTAAATCCAAGGAAAGCAGAAAAAAAATAAAAATTAAAGCAGAAACCAATGAAATTGAAAACAGGAAATCAATAGAAACATTCAACAAAACCAAATGCTGGTTCTCTGAAAAGATAGTAAAAGCAATAAATCTCTAGCCAGGCTAAATAAGAAAAAAAAGATAAGACTAGTATCTTAATGATAAGTACTAATATCAGAAATGAAGTAGAGGACATCATACAGATACCATGGGCATTAAAAGGATAATAAAGGAATATTATGAACAACTCTATGACCACAGATTTCATAATCTGGATTAAACGGACCAATTCCTAGACACAACTTGCCAAAAGTCACACAAACAGAAATGGACAATGTGAATGGCCTATATCTATTAGTTAAATTAGATCAATAATTAATAATCTTCCAACAGAGAAAGCACAAGCCCCAGATAAGCTTGCCCATGAATTCTACCAAACACTTAAAGAAGAAATTATATTATTTTTTTACAATCTCTTTTAGAAAATAAAAACAGAGGGAATACTTCCTAACTCATTCCATGAGGCCAGCATTACCCTAATACCAAAATCAGACAAACGCTTTACAAAAAAGACTTCAGACCAATGCCTCTCATGAACAGAGATGCAGAAATCCTCTAAAAAATATTAGCAAGTCAAATTCAACAATGTATAAAAACAATTATACACCATGACTAAATGTGATTTATCCCAGGTATGCGAGGATGGTTCAACATTTGAAAATTAATGTAATCTAGCGTATCAAAAAACTAAAGAAGAAAAATCACATTATCGTATCAATGGATGCAGAAAAAGTATTTGACAAATGCAACGCCTATTTATGGTAAAAAAAAAAAAAAAAAAAAGAAAAAACTCAGCAAACTAGGAATAGAAAGGAACTTCCTCAACTTACAAAGAATATCTACCAAAAAAACTACAGCAAACATCATACTTAATGGTGAGAAACTCAAAGCTTTCCCACTAAGATCAAGAATAAGACAAGAATGTCTATTCTCTCCACTAATTTTTAATACTATACTGGCAGTTACAGCTAATGCAATAAAACAAGAAAAGAAAATAGAAAATATACAGATTGGGAAAGAAGAAATAAAACTGTCTTTGTTCACAAATGACATGATCATATATATAGAAAGCCCAAAATAATCAACAAAAAAACTCCTGGAAATAAGCAATTATAGCACAAGTTGCAAGATATAAGGTTAATATACAAAAGTCATTCACTTTCCTGTATACCAGCAATGAACAATGAAATCTGAAATTAACAACACATTGCCATTTATATTAACACCCCAAAAATGAAATACTCAACTATAAATCTAACGAAAGATGTACAAGATCTATATGAAAAACTACAAAACTCTGATGAAAGATATCAAGGAAGAACTAAATAAATAGAGAGATAGTCCACGTTCCTGAGTAAGAAAACTATTTTGTCAAGATGTCAGTTCCTCTCAACTTGAACTATAGATTCAAAGAAGTTCCAATCAAAATCCCAGAAAATGATTTTGTGTATATTGACAAACCAATTCTAATGCTTATGTGCAGAGGCAAAAGATCCAGAATACCAATTCATTATTCAAGGAGAATAAAATTGGAGAACTGACACAACCTGACTTCAAGACTTACTATATCACTACAGTAATCAAGCCAGTGTAGTACTGATGAAAGAATAGATAAATAGAATAATGGAACATAATAGAGGGCCTAGATATAGACCCACACAAACATGGTTAGCTGATCTTTGACAAAGGAGCAAAGGCAATACAATGGAGCAAAGAGTCTTTTCAAGAAATAGTGCTGGAGCAACTGGAC